GACGCAGTTAAGCAAAAAGGATCCAATCCACAAAATTATCAAATAATGAGTTATATGTACCAAACGGTTCCTAAAGTCTAACCTCTTAGATCAGTAAAGAAATCCAACATATAAACATAAATTATAAATTAACTGCTTTCGTGGCCGAACGGTTACCATGCCGGACTTCCATGCAGAGGTCCCAGGTTCGATTCCCGGGTCGGGAGAAATATTTGTATGGCCAAATGTAGGCCATTTCTCTCGTGAGTTTGGGTGTAATTTGTGGTTGTCTACGTGTGTGTCCATGGCACCCGCGACACAGGGTTTCCCTAGTGCGGGGCTATGTTGAGTGTGTACGTTATTATAAATAAATACCTCTGGGGTTACATAACATTATAAGTTTTGATAATAAAACAACAGTGAGAAACATTTTCAAACTTCAAACTGCCATATCACGAAAGTGACTGGTTGTGCATTGGATCCTTTTTGTTTAACTACGTCCAATTATGAAGTTTTGGCGGTTTTTTTCCAACCACAAGCGTTAGTGTGTTTGCTGTCTCTGTACACAAAAAACGCACTAACGCGGGAAAATAATATGGCGCCACCGTCTATGCGGAAAAGGTGCGGAACTAAAACCGAGCGTACTACTGGTTGTTTGAGTTTGTTTACTCAAAGTAATTTAAAAAATTAGGTACTTTTTACTCTGGATTAATAGACGCACTTTCCTCCCGCTACGTAAGGCTATATTGACGTACTTTTAGAGCATGAGAAGTGAAAAAATTATTGCACACATTATCCATATCGCCTTTATCCACACTAAGGCTTAATATCTAACGCCCATTAACATATTAATTCAGACTTAATAATTATAACTTTTTATTAAAAAAGACCGACTTTTTGGGCTTGGATACAACTCCTTTGAGCTAAAAAAACCGACTTCAAAAGTTTACTTATCGGTTTTTTTTTTATTGGAATTACATCTATTTGCCAAGTTTTATTGGAATCTGTTAACGGAAAGTGGGTGCAAATCAATAAACCGACTTTGCCACTCTTAGAGGTGGAACACTGAGGAGTATGTACCTTAATATTGGTTTCATACCTTTTATTCACAAATATCGGAGTAACATACAAATAAAACAAAATCAAAAAATACAATTGAATAGAGAAACTGCTCATTTTTTGTTTGAAACTATTCTACATTAAATTTAAAATCATTACAAAAAATAATCTCAGTACAGAGTACTAAAAAAACCGACCTCAAAAGCACGTGGAATTACGTCTATTTGCTAAGTTTCATTGAAATATCCCCTAGTTCGCCACTGTACAGGACTTGATACTGGAGATAATAAAAATAGGTTCTCACTACGACACTACTCAAAGTATATCGAGGGAAATATGCCTTGAATTGATGAAATAGCAAAATCAACTAAATAATTGCTAAAAGTAATTGCTCCTAAATTAAAGTTAGACGCTATTTATAAAAATGAATCTTCATGCGTGAACAGCCACCCTTTGAGGTGGATGATTTCCTTCAAAATGTAATGGGACCACTATGGAAGTACCTCCTTTCCAACAAAAAAAGAATAATGAAAATCGGTTCACAAATACCGGAGTTATCGCGTAACATACATACAAAAAAAAAAAGAACATACAGTCGAATTGAGAACCTCCTCCTTTTTTGAAGTCGGTTAAAAAATGGCTTACGTTGTTCGAAAATATTTCTCAAGATGCACCTCTGCGAAAGAACTTTTGTTATTTTATTTTCCACTTAAAATCTTTATTTGTTATAGCTATCAACGGGAGGTACCTGTGCCTTTTTAATATCAAAAGTGTTCTTTTACGACGTGAGTATTAAAATATTGTACTATTTTTTTAGAATTACTCGAGACGTAAACAAAGCAGCAGGGGTCGTAAACCTTTTTCTTCTGCCTCTGTGGCCGAATCACCCGGGTTCGATTCCCAGGCCGGGAGAAATATTTCTGTGGCCTCCATTTATTTCTCTCTTGACTATGAGTGTAATTTGTGGTTGTCTATGGTACCCGCGACACAGGGTTTCCCACAGAACAATAAATACAGTAAAAGTGGTTTGTTACCGTCAGACGCGTGCCAACAATACTCCGTCCAACCATTTAAATAACTTTTGACAGCTGGAAGTCAAATCAATTAGTGATGTCCTAATGCGTTGCCGATTCGGTTTTTCATAACAATCAATTTTATTTATGAAGAAGTATTATCGTGAATGTGAAATAAAAGATATTCTCTAATTGGGATCGTGATGTTGCGTTTGACAATTTGTATGCTCAAGAATTAATAATTAATGTTAATGAAGATTCAAGTAATGATTCCCGTTTATGTGGAGAAGAATCCGACGATTCATTATAATAAACAATAAGAGTCTATTATAATTATTTATACTTTTTTCATTTCGTACCAAAATTTATCAACTTGAATAATCTTCGTTATAAGAGCACGTCGCTTAACTACAATTAAAAAATAAAAGAGTCCAGGAAGTATCGCATTTTTTGTCTATGGTTGTGTATCAATAATTACGGAACTTCGGAGGCAATATTGGACGGAGTCGGAGTCACCCTGAAACATAAGTTGACAAGTCCCATGTTACAGGCACATGGGACTTTTATCTTTATGGTATTTTGCCAGCACCCCCACCCTTCAAAACCGGAACACAGTAATGATCACATTACTGCTTGGCGGCAGAAATAAATAAGGTGGCAGTACTTACCTGGACGAACTCTTTCACAGGGAGCCTTACTGCTACTGAAAGATCTGCAACAAACACATGGAAAAATTCGTGAAGTCTGTTGGGTCGTTCTGTGACTTAGTTGGCATAGCTTCTGGAACAGTTTGCTGGGAGACGTTGGTTCGAATGCAACCGGATTGAAGTGATTTTTTTCAAGTGTTCGATCTTTGTTTTATAACTAACTAGTGGAGTAATTTCACATTTATTTTATTAAGTAATTTTTAATAATTTCCTCTTTCTGTCATTAACAGTGGCCCAATGCGTCCACGCCTGTCTACCAAGTCTTCCTAATCCTGGCTTCGTTCACGCTATCCTGGGGCGAGACGTGGTTCCTGGACTTCCGTGTGCTGCCGCAAGAGCAGCAGGCTAAATATATATTAGAAGCTATAGGTAATAATGTATATGGTAATTCCACCCCTCCTACGTAAAGGATCGTATGTCGAAATTGCCAAGTTTACAGCGGAGCGTTTTAAAGTTCTGAATTCACTCATTACTGACATAGAGTGATCATCTAATAGATTATCGTAGATCATCTAACCGATATCTAGGATTTTATAGTACTCGAATATGTGAGTAACGAGTTTTGCCGAATAAAACTAAGAAATAGGAAATGAAACTATTTTTAATAGGTAAACATTAATATGAATAAAATAAGAACGGGCGAAGAAAATTTGACATATATCCGACGTCGACAAGCGTCCCATGGCGACTGACGGGGCAGCGGGCGGCGCGGCGTGTCGTTAAACCGCTGAGCAATTTTCAGATTTCGGAATAAATGTGAATTTAATAAGTAATAGTCATAATAGTGGTTATACCCCTACATCGCAAAGTCAAAATCTTCGAACAGTGTGTTCATGCCTGTGCATAGACTAGCACGAGCATGACACACTGTTCGGAAAGCATGACTCTTACAAAGAAATCCGTCGAGAAGTTCCGAGTCGTGCAGAGGGACATGTAGAAAGCAATTCTCGGATTTACCCTGCGAGACCGAAAAAGCAATGCTTGGATCCGAAATAGGACAAAGTTAAAGATGTCATCAACAGGTCCCAACCTGGTCCACCGTGACCATGGGACCTGTAAAGGGCCCGAAACGTCGGTTTGTTTGAAAAAACAAATATACGCGATTTAAATCCGGAAAAATAGTTTCATTTCGTATGTGTAACAATCGCGAAAACCTAAGAACTCGATAAAACTAAGAAATGCTAAAGGCACGTGTTACGCTCATTTCTGAGAATTCAAAACTTAATGCTCCCCTATAAATTTGGCAATTTCGACATACGATACTTTACGTAGGAGGGGTCGATATATGATTTTTTAATTAACCTACTGCCTGCCCTGTCAGAGTAGTGCGTCTGGCGTGTTTGCTGTGAGTAAAGATGTTTTTTTTTGTGAGAGTAAAATAAATTATTTATTTAATGAAATTCACCACTAACATTAAGAGCGCGTTCCCATTGTCTTGTGACGACAGCTAGTGGTGCAGTTTAAAGTGTCGTGACTGGAACGACAGTAGAAAAGGTGCTGGTGGAATTACAGGCACATCGGACTTGTCAACTTATATCTCAGGGTGTCGGACGCAGTGGCAGTGCCCCTCAGATCTTTGCGGTTTAAAGCTCTGAGTGGCACTGCAACTGTTATGGACAGGCGTGTCACTTACCATCTAGCGCACGACTTGTTCGTTCCGTCACTTACTATCATGACTCATCATCATCATGGCGGCCGTTTTGTTATCCAATGTTGGGTGTAGGCCTATTCCCTATTCCTATTCTTACACTCTTGGCGGTCTTGTGCCCGACTCATCCAGTCTTGACCTCCGTGTCGTCGGATGTCGTCCGTCCAGCGCTGCGGTGGTCTGCCACGCCCTCTGATGTCCGCTCTGGATCTCCACTCAAGTACTCGCCATGTCCAGCGCCTCTCGTCTATTCTCGCAATGTGCCCCGCCCACGCCGTTTTCTTCGCCGGGATAGCCATGACATCTTTAACTTTGGTCCTATTTCGGATCCAAGCATTGCTTTCTCTATCTCGCAGGGTAAATCCGAGAATTGCTCTCTACATGTCCCTCTGCACGACTCGGAACTTATCGACGGACTTCTTTGTAAGAGTCATGCTTTCCGAACAGTCTGTCATGCCCGTGCTTGTCTATGCACAGGCATGAACACACTGTTCGAAGATTTTGACTTTGAGATGTAGGGGTATTACCACTATTATGACTATTACTTATTAAATTCACATTTATTCCGAAATCTGAAAATTGCTCAGCGGTTTAACGACACGCCGCGCCGCCCGCTGCCCCGTCAGTCGCCATGGGACGCTTGTCGACGTCGGATATATGTCAAATTTTCTTCGCCCGTTCTTATTTTATTCATATTAATGGTTACCTATTAGTAATCCGAAATGACATTTTCTAGAAATAACGTTTCCTCGAATTTTCATAACCTCGAAAGTAATTTTGAGAGGAAAATGTTGTCTTTGCGATGAACATCCAACATAACCTGAAAGAACAACGGTTTCGTTATAATTCGGTTAAAAAAAATCGAATTTGTGATCGGTTACCCGTATTAATTTCACACATAATCACTGTGCGTGGATAGGGGACGTGAGGGGCGAACCCCCTATCCTAAAATCTAGGCTCCAAAGATTTCCAGACTAGTCGATCGGACGTGGCGTGCATCCATATGTTACCCGCCGCCGTTACCAGGTCATCCGTCCATCTAGTAGGGGGCCGTTCCTCTAAACTCCTTTCTGTTCGTGGTCTCTATTCAAGAAACTTTCTACCACCGGCTGTCAGTTCTTCGAGTTAGGTGCACTACCCACTGCCACTTCAACTTGTTATTCCTTTGAACTACGTTGGTGACTTACGTTCTTCTACGGATTTATAGATATGGATGCTCGCTCCATAGTTCGTTGAGTGACTTTGGCTTTTTTATGAGGCCCATACTAAGTGACCACGTCTCAGAGCCATAGGTCATAGCTGGCAACACCCTTTGCTCGAAGACTTTTGTCTTCAAGGACTGCGGAGGTGGGTTTTGGGTCTCACTTCCGCTTAATTGGTCTTTTTTTGTATAGGTGGTCACACATCAGAACGGACCCCTCTTCTCAATACCTGCAACGAACGCGCCAGCCCCCTCCGTCCGCCAGGGGTGCAATCGACGTACGGCGAATCCACAGTCAACTGGTTCTCACCGGTCGAGACGCCCGAATCCAGCCCCAAGCGTAGAAGACCTGGGGAACAGCTCATATTGACACAAGAACAGGTTAGTGATTGCTTACTGTCATTGATTGGTAGATGTCATTAAACTTGCAGCCATTCCTTTCGCATAATAGTTTTGTTTGCAAGTGGACATTGCAGCTAACACTGTCTCTTGTTGTGTGTTTATAATAAACATATGATCTAGCCCTTTAACGGCATTGGTTAATAAGTACAAGCAACTGTCGGCTACTGGTTCCCGTTGCCTGTGCCGTAAACATCTTTAAAGGTGCTTTTCCACCGGAGAAGCGAGACGACGATTGAAATTTGTGTGGCGAAGTTTCAATTCTGTCCTAGCGCATCTTCGGTGGAAATGGTCTTGATTAACGAGGATATGCGAGACGAGAATTTAAATATTAATAAACCGTATTACTGCCTACTTAGAGTTATTAACTCTGCAACGTTAACAAGATTTTTCGCGAGATTGTGAGGTATACACGATTTAACATTAAAAAAAAAGATTGCTTCATCTGATTCTTCTTCTTGAATAAATAATAATTACGGGACACGTTTATGAGTATAATCATTATGGTCATATTTAAGAGCCAGGTTCTTTTTTTGTGTAGCCTCCTCCACTCCTCACGGTTTATAGCGAGTTCCTTGACCAAGTATAAGCATATAATTTTAAAATAAAACAATAGACCTAATACACATTAATTGCCTCTGTGGCTGGACGGTTACCATGCTGGATTGAAGAGGTCCCAGGTTCGTTTCCTGCGCCGGGAGAAATATTTGTATGGTCGTCGTTTATTTATCTCGTGAGTTTGGGTGTAATTTGTGGTTGTCTATATGTGTGTCCATGGTACCCGCGACAGGGTGTTTCCCTAGTGCGGGGCTATGAGTGTGTGCCGTTTACTCATTGACTTACAATTATATGGACGTCGGGTCCGCGCTAAAAAGTGTCCGCACTTGTAAGGCGCTAAAATCGTATACAGAGCGCGACACTCCGCTTTAGTCTTCATTTGTTCTACGGACAGCGCGATACTGCGATGACATAACAATTTAAATTTCGAATAGGTTGACTTGGGACATTTTTTTCGTGGTTTTTGTATTAGACCCGTCGTCCATTTATTTGTAAGTCAATGCGTTTACTATATTATTATTATTTTAATTGTAATCCGGTATATAATCCCTTAAAACCCGTAAATAGATAGCTTTTCGCCAGTTAATTCACTTCTCTTCTTTCTTTCTTTTTGACCACCGTCCTTTAGTGTTGCTATTTTGTTTTTTTTTATTATTATACACTCGAATCGAATATCGAATCAGTAACTTATTTCTTTTTGATCTGATTTATTTATTGCAAGTAGTAATAAGCATTTTAAACTAAATAATTTATTAATGATTATGTAGCTTTTGTTAACATGTTACTTCAGCCGCGCGTTTATCGCTAGACGAAGTTATGTCAAAATAATTTACATGTAATTTTTGACTAGACGATAATTAATAATGTAATATATTCTCTCGGCCTTCTGTACAACGTTTATTTGCTTTTAAGTCTTAAATTATTTTGACATCAATTTTAAATATTTGATTTTTTTTGTTTATGCCTTTCAATTTCCATTCTAAATTGTTATTTTATTTTGTTTAATTTTATTATATTTAATATCTTGACTAGCCGTGCCCTGTTCAAGAATCGTTCAAGTAGCAATTTCATCCAGGCAGCTTTAGAAATTTAATCGACAACTAATGGGGGGTGCAACCAAAGAACATATTGTAATGAAAGTGGTTTTAAATAAATTCACTACTCATCAATGAAGTAAATATACAAACAATAATAAATACATACATTATTATATAATAAGATTACTTATATACTTTTGTAGGAAAATAAAATAAATTTAAATTTTTGGTGGAATAGGCCAATGAGATTTCAATTCTCGCTTCGCCGCTGGAAAAGCGCCTTTAGACTCTTTTTGAAACCACAGCATATTGATATTTATGTCACTTGCATAACGTTCAAACTAATCGCAGATACGACTCAGGAAACAGGTCAGTGGTGTTGCGGAGAATTCTTACGGGGACGCTATCATGCAGTTTAAACGTTTACAAAAATTATGAATTTTCTCAGTCGCAATTTTACCATTGATTGCTTATTACAAAAACGATGCCACCGCGAATCGAACCGATGACCCTATTCATTAAGGCCAATTGAACGTTATTTGCAGTAATTTGACGACTAGTGATGAATAGTGCTGTTTCAATCCATAAGCGGTCCTCTGCTCGGACCCTATTCGAGTTTAAACATGGTTTAAACCGAGATTTGATTAGGGAATTTTAAACGTCTGCGAAGCGAGGTGAGATCGCAGTAGTGTTAAAATTTAGTCCAGGAGGCCTACTATGAGCTCTTATAGCAATCCTGTTTAAGCCCGTAAGTTGGATAGCTTGTTCAATTCGTACTATGACCTCATAAAAATAATTCACTGTCCATGCAGTTTAGGTTCCCCATCCGAAATCACTTCACCATTTCTTTCATAGTGAAATCTGTCAAAATAAGCAATTCAAAAAAAGTTGCTCCGTGACTAACTTTTTTTGAAAATGTCGAAGATTTGTTACATTTTTAAGAAATTTCTTTTAACTTTTATTATATTTTCACTTTCATTATTATTTGTTATCTTTTTAGGCTTTTTTTTAAATATATAATTGTCAATAAATAATAGTTATTTTTGATACAAGTGCGGAAAGTTAGTCATTATTCACGAGTCTCGAGGCTTCTTGGCCCGAGCCAGAGGCGAGGGTCAAGACTCGAGACAAGTGAAAATGACAAATCCGCACGTGTATCAAACGACGTTTTTTAATACATTTGCGAAAAAACTACATTGAAAGTAAAATAAAAAAGTATTTAAAAAAATCTCATTTTCTGCTAGTAAATTAAAATAATAAAATACAACCACTGCAACCATTATTTAAAAGTCTATGGAAATCTAGTTCTAACGTGCTGTTTTTGTTTATTTTCTGTAATATCGGTCTGTAACCACTTTTCTTATTATGAAGTCCTGGTACTTTTGTTTAAACTTCTTTAGGAACCCGTGCACGGTAGTGAGATACATAATTTATCTGTAATACATAGAACAAATATATACATAAAAATCTCTCCTGTCACCCATTCAGGGGTAGGCAGAGACTGTGGACCTCCACTCGATACGTTCATTATATAGTATTTGTAAATAAATATAAGTTTTAATGACGAATGACTTACGTCACAAAGCACATAAATATGAAATAAATATACAATCTCTTTAGTTCTATGTTTAAGACTTAAAACAACGGTAAATAAAAAAAAAACTGGAAAAGTAAAAAGCACTAGTGCGAGAAATCCAACCTTCCGCACGATTTGTAGTGCGAAAAATACCACGTTTTGAGCAACTGTATTAAAAATGCTATTAACTATTGAGCATTTTTTAATAGTTCAGTTCGAGTTTCCCATCTACAGAACATTGTTGATAAATTATTGATATGAATGTAATTGCAATTTTTAAATTGCATTTCAATCATTTTAATAATTTTATTAAATTAGTGAAAATCGTAAAATAAGTTTTAAATGGTGCCAAATTTGACTTTAATCACGCATTAATCAATGAACATGTACGAATACAAGATACGTTCCAATTATGTTATCAAATTACAAACTCACCTTATTCATTTCAATGATAATGACTAGACATGACATGTAATTTTGTCTTACGACAAATTGTAAAGTATGATCGAAAAATTGCCGATATTACAATATAACGTAATAAATATAATCAATAATAAAATTATTTAAAAAATATAATTATTCTCATTTTGAACACAATCGGTTAAAGTATCGGCTCGAACGCTCCCAGGTTAGTACATCTGTAACGACGTGACCTCCTTACATCGTCATCCCACCTTTTTATCGCCTGTTTTCCGGTTCCTGGCCACTCGTCAGTCGCCCCGGCCGGATCGACCGAGGAGAGACGATGTAACGATACAAAATCAGAATGGCGAGGCAAAGGAATTAAAGAACGATTCAAAATTTAAAAACGAGTGGCCAGGGAACCGGTAAAAAGGCGATACACACACATTTATCTATGGCCGGGTGGCCTGGCCATTTCTTTCATATGATTTAGTATGTAGTTCCATCTCGCTCTTGATAGATGTCAACATGTTACTTATTGTTAATTGGCTATATAACCAAAAAAGATAACAAATAATTATGAAACTGAAACTGAACATATATTACATACGAAAAATATATTATACGATTGGCTAGCCCGAGTTCGAAACAATTGACGGTTGTTTCACTTCAAATCGACCAGTTAAGTTGAGCTTTGTTATAATGGAAATTTTGAAAATTGCAAAATTACATATTTAATCATATTTAATATTTATTTACCGATGAAATGTGATTCCGTTTGTTTTATAATTAGATGTTTTGCAGTTTTTCCCACACCACTGAATAGAACAGCCCGGCATTGTTAGAGATATTATCTTTATTACAATAAATACAGAATATTTTTTGGAATATACGGAGACGTACACACAGGTCAGTAGCTGGCCTGTCTATATTTCAGCGCAAATGAGAGTTGATATTTATAAGAGCTGTATCGCTAATGTGTTACCAGGAATATATGGCCCTTATTTCGTCTCTATTTCTGGTTATATACTTCATGATGAGACCGCTATTTGCAAATGGCACGTCATGATACGATTTTACTATGAAAGAAAAGGTGAACGTATTTCGAATGGGGAACGTAAACTGCATGGAGAGTGAATTATTTTTGTGAGGTCATAGTACGAATTTGACTGGCAATCCAACTTACGGGCTCAAACAGGACTGCTCTAAAGAGCTCATAGTAGGCCCCCAGGTGTTTTTTAAACAATGAAACTAGTATCTTACACATTGCAACAATCGCAAAGTGGCGCTTAGTATGATCTGTAGAGATTTAAGATCGATAGTATTATAATCCTCAGTACAGAGTCAATGGTGGACGAGTCTTTAGGATCTTCTATACGTATAAAGCACTCATACGTACATATAATATA